TCTGCCAGATCTTGGCCAAAAGTGGGGGGATTGTGAACTAAAAATATTAAGCCCTCCTCAGCTGAGTGAATGGACCACCTTCCTTATCTTAAAACATTCCAAGCCTTTAGAGAAAGCTTCATTTCTTTAACCGATTACAAATCAGAGAAACCCACCTATAACCTATAAGCCCCCACTTGGAGATGTCCCACTTTTTCGGGCCAAACCAATGTACATCTTCCACATATTGATTTATGAATTTCTGTGTCCCTGAGATGTATAAAACCAAACTGTAACCCAACCATGGTGAATCTGCTTGCTCAAGGCTTCTTGGATGTGGCTCTGGGCCATGATGCTCAAACTTGGCTCAGAATAAACTTCCTTAAATTGTTTTACAGAGTTTGACTTTTCCATGGACATGTTTGTGCTGGGTTGTAAATGTACTTATGTAAAATGTATTTATTTTTGTGATTCAGACAAAAATGTCTGAAAGCTCTACTGCTCTAGCAATAGCATTGCTGAGTTGGACGTCTTTAACCTTACCAGAGATAATGTCAGATTGCTGTCCAAAATGATTATACCAAATCACATTCCCATTAGCAGTGTAAGAGAGTTACCTGTGTTCTCTATCCTCATCTGAACATAATAGAATCAGTCTTTTAATGTGCTGCCAATCCAGGAAACATGGAATTATATTAGGTTATTGAGTATGAAGTGTCCAATTTCCTTAAGTACTAAGTTTGGCAGTTGATATCTCAGACATTTCAATTTGATACTTCCTGTTTTATGTTTACAGTGAAGGTACATCCTCAGTCTTCCAAATGCACCTTTTGGCTTGCGATTATCTTTCAAATTTTTTTAAGAGCAATTATCGTGAAATCATGGATAAGTCAAAAATTCATGCTATTGGCTGGGCACGGTGGCTCACGCTTTTAATCCTAGCACTCTGGGAGGCCAAGGCGGGAGGATTGTTTGAGCTCAGTTCGAGACCAGCCTGAGCAAGAGTGAGACATCGTCTCTACTAAAAATAGAAAGAAATTAATTGGACAACTAAAAATATATAGAAAAAATTAGCCAAACATGGTGGCGCATAGTAGTCCCAGCTACTCAGGAGGCTGAGCCAGAAGGATTGCTTGAGCCCAGGAGTTTGAGGTTGCTGTGAGCTAGGCTGATGCCACGGCACTCTAGCCCAGGCAACAGAGTGAGACTCTGTCTCAAAAAAAGAAAGAACGAGAAAAAAGAAGAATTCATGTTATTTACGAATTTGAGTTCCGTCGTGGAAACAATGCAGCGGAGATAGCTGAAAATATCAACGAAGTGTTTCGGAAGGATGTGGCTAATGAACTCACAGTATGTTGATGGTCTGAGAACTTCTGTCCTGCTGGTTTTAATCTTGAAAATGACCCACGTCGCAACCTGAGACCAAGGTGAATAATGATGAGCTGAAAGCTGTAGTAGAAGTGAATCCATTTGAACTTATGCATGAATTACCAACAAGGTTTGATGTTACTATTCCAATAATATTGGACCATTTGAAACAAATCAGCAAGGTAAAGAACCTGGATAGATGGGTTCCGCACGAATTAAATGAGCATCAGAAGAGAAACCGCCTGGAAGCTTGCCTTTCGTTGATGTCATGACA